ACTGCATTCACTGAGAATCGGCGGGATGCAAGTGGAGGAGGAAGGGAGTCTCACTGCGCTTTCATTCGCAGTCGAGCCCGCATCCTCTTCAAGGTCTGCAAACGGATCCAGCGTTTCCTTATTTCTTCCTGCTTATTTTTAAATATCATATCCATTTTTTTGCGTCGTGGGAGGGAATGCCGGTCTTGCTTGTCGGGTTCAAAATAACGGCGAATTATCTGCGCAGGAAACTGTTTCGACCCATGAAAAAGTAATAAACAACGTTACCACAAATAATTTTTGGCAGGATGTGAAATTTCAAAAAGATGATAGAGGCAGCAGGGATAACTTATAATCGCATGACTTATGAATAATCTTTACCTTAACGTTCGGATTAACCTTGATTTAAAGTCGAGAAAGTCTTCCATATCTAATCTTCAGTGTTGGTCATTCAAATGTTAAATTATTACGAGCGTACTTAGGAGCAAGTGGATGAATTCCATACGAATGACTACTTTCAGATTGAAATGCGATTTTGTTGTGTCGTAGAGTGTAACCTTAGTGAATTTTAGTTACAGGTTGTTATTAGAATGTGCAGAATGCCGATCCGTAAAAAAAAAAAAAAAAAGACGCGATAGGAAGGAAGGAAAGAATGGAGCCAGGTAGAATTCCGCTTTCCCGGAGCTGGACTGAATGCCGGGTGCGACTGCAACCCTGCAGCCGCCGAGCGCGTCGGCGGCTGCAGAGTCATCAGCGTCGAAAGGGGAAAGCGGCAGGGGTGGAGGGCTTAACGATCATTTTGGATCGAACTCCTTTCGAAGGGAGGAATGAACTTCTTGGGCATTCACGGCGCCATCTCGGTGACATCGACGTCGACGAAACGCGGAAAGACGCACACGCCGCACAAAAAAAGGAAATTTCCTCGAGACGAAGGAAATTTCCAGTCGCGGGGATTCCCCAGCGTTTCCGTACTTCAAATCCCTTCGCATTTCTCGCTTCATCACCCGGCCATTTTTTCGTCGAAGGAAGGCCTCTCCGATCCAGCATGTCCTTTATCGATTCTGGCCCATCTCGAGATGTTGGAATCCTTCACGGACTTCCGAGTCGGTCGTCATTCCATCCGTCGTCTCGCGTTCGCGCTCGTTCCACTTCGATTCTCGATTTGCAACCGAGACATTTTTTCGTCTTTCCTTCCGATTCCGCCGGCTTTCTCCCGTCGACGGCCAGAGGCTCCCCCGAACATCGACTCGCGGTCTGGAAGTCGTGCTTGCCGTCTCATCGCAGGAGCAAGGATTTTTTTCCCATCGAAATGGATCAATGGAGGGAAGAAGACATCATCATCGCCCATTAGTCTTTTCGTCTTTCATTCCTTTGACAATCCTATATTTTCAAATTTTTTTGGCAATCATGCTTGCAATAAGACCTCTTTTGAGCGACCCCCATTTCAAACAGAAAACGGTTCGGCGACATCCCACGAGTCCGGAAGCGAGCGGCTGCAGCATCCCCCCGAGTCAACATGTTTTTTCTTTTTCGCGTTTTTCTCCCATCCCTCATCCACCATCTCACCGACCGCGAATCCCGCACGGCGATCTGCCTCCCCCCCGCTGCAGGCGTCCCAGCCCGGCCTCGAGGTCAGCCCAGGCTTTTCAATCTGACTTTTCATTTGCTTCGTTTTTTTTTTTGGTTCCATTTTTTTTTTCGATTTCGTTTTGTTTCGGATTTCCGTTCGTGGAATAACCGGGAACGTTCACGGTGTGTTGGGCTTCTTCGATTTGATCTCGATAGAATCGCACAATAAAATTTAAAAATAACGTGTCGTAACTGAGAACTATTTATCTCGAGGGCAGAACCCTAGGAGAACACAGGGGAGAAATATGGAGTCACTGTCTAGGGCTCTTAAAGTCTCGGCACAAATTTCTCCTTCACCGTTCTCTCGAAATCCACCGGAACTTATAACGATCGGGATCTCGTCTCACTTCTCGATGGATCGGGTTCGCGTCGTTCTCAGCGTCTCCAGAACAGCCTTCGAAATCGGGGCCGCACGAACCGCACGTCGCAGAGGCACACGTGCCGGCACTGGCTCGGATACTTGACGTAGCAGCAGGGCGGACACAGCTCCGAGAACTCGGTGTATCTGTCGGATTCCCGGCCGAGTCGGCCCGTGCACCCGAGGGCGAGAAGCAGGAACAACAGCCACCGAATCATCTGCGTGAGAGTGCGCGAGACCGATTACGTCCAAATTTCCGCACGTGCACATCGCAGTAAGAAAGAATCGAGGAAGCGCACAGTGCACGGAGTCACTTCAGAACGCCATCGGAGTGAGAAAGAAGAAGAAATCGCAGGGGGGGAGAAGAAGTCGCTGCAGCTCGTATCAGCGGAAAAAGCGGAGAAGAAGTCTAAATGCGTTCTTGCTTCGTGACCTTCCTCTGAAGGTCCGGCACGGATCCTTCCCTTGTTTCAGTCCTTTTCGTTTCGTTCTTCCGTGCGAGGAGCCGGTCTCGCTCGTCACCGTCAACAACAAGGCGGACGTGATCGCATTGAATTCGCTTCTCCGCAGTCGTGACCATCGGATGGACCGCACGTCTCCATTCAAACGAACTGGTTTTTTTTTCGGCATCGAATTTAAAATAATGAAGAGAAAAACCTGGTTCGGATGGAATCGGTAACCCCGTGTAGTAGAGAACGAAGAAAACAGTCGCTTTACAGACGATCCGCTAGATGTCTGGCACGCTGCTGCGCTTCTTGGATGGTCGCTGATAATTGGGGTGAAAATTGAAAATTGAATGGGCTTTCCTTCTCAGAGATATTAAAACGGTTATGAAAAAAAAAAGCATGGAAGGGAATTCTCCAGTTCTCAGGATTTCGTTCTTCGCTGAAAAAATGGCGTCCAGTATTCGAACATCGTCGAGTCGAAGGGGGGGGGGGGGGG